GCAACCCCGGTGTATAGTCCGCGCCGCCAGTCGGAAACGCGCGAGAAATCACAAAACTGAAGAATGAACGGATAGGATGAAAAAGGCGGATTTTGACAGTCGGTTCGAGAGGAACGGATTGAAAAAAATGAGGAATCGAAGCTAATATGATTTCACCGCGTTCGGCTTTCGATGTCGCAAGTATTCGCGAGAATATTCCGCACATTCGCGCGTTTCCACTCTCCGTAAAAAAGACATGTGAGACACACACACACACACACATATGTACTCAGTTAAATGCTATTACATAAAAATAAGTAAAAAAATAGCGCTTTTGAATATATCAAGCTCGAAAATTTTATATTTTTTTTTAGAATTTCGTGTAATAATTTTGCGCAACGCTTCATCCAAACGTAGTATCAAAAATATCTTTTTTTTTCGAGAGAGAAAGAGAGAGAGAAAAAATACAGAATTCAAAATTCAACAGATCCAGATTATGTCACAATCGTATCAGATTTAATTCCTAGAAATCTAACGAGAAAAAAGGAGCCGTAACGTATCTGTACTTATTTTTTCACGAAAAAAGAAAATTCAAGTTCGCTCTCCGTCCGCGCGTATTTTAGTGCGTGACACATTATACTTCCGTCTTGATTCTCTGATAATCGTGGCTGTTCTAAAAAGTTTTCCGGTGTTGGTATACAAAGACACGAGAAGCGGTCAAGCCGGTAACAGCCGTACTTAGCGTTAAACGGGCGTGTACGGTCAAGAATTTGGGGACAAGGGCAGGAATTTCGGGAGTTTCTCTCCGGGCAAAGCGACGAAAGCGGAAAGGGCAGCGAGACGCATCGCGGTCGGTTTTCTCGAGAATGGTCGACGCGGCCAAATCGATGAAAAGAAATTTATTCGTCGCGAGCGCCGGCGGCGGCTTTAAAATACGGCGTCGGCGTCGAGACGCCACCAGCGGCGCGTCGCGTCGCGCCTAGCTACCTGGCGGAATTACATTCGAATTCTTTCTCGTCGTCGCGCCGGTATGCCGGAATCGGACTGGAATTCGGGACGACTCTCGACGTCAAGCATTTTTTCGGGCTGAAGCCGCGGCGAAAACGCGCAGCGTTGCGCACACACCCCGGTTATTACACGAGATCCCGGGACGCGACTCTTCTCTCTGCAGCTCTCGGCCAACCTAGTGTGCGGTGGGCCTTTGCTTTTTTCCGCCCCGGGACTGTCCGGGGCTGCAGTTCTCTCTTTTTCTCTCTCTCTCTCTCTCTCTCTCTCTCTCTCTCTCTCTTCCTCTCTTTCCGAGAGGCAAATTGAATTTAACTCCGCCCGCTAATACGAGAGACCGTCGAAAAAACGCGCGCGGCGGGAACGCGGGAAAATCACGCCGCGATTTATGTCCGAGCGCGCCCTTTTTCCTCACTCGCCGCCTATGAGATCTTCCTCTCGGTCCCTTTTGAATGTGATATTATGCACGCCGTGGTGTTTTAATATAGCGGTCCATTTTAATGAATAGAAAGGCGCCGCGGAACTTATGTCGCGTTTTGCTTGGCGAGGGCTTTTGTGCTTATTAATTCGCATGCTTCGAATTTATTGTTTAGGGAAATGACTCTCTCTCTCTCTCTCTCGGTTGGAGACAACATATATTTCGTAGATCAGAATTTTAACTGCATTAGACGAAAAATCTAAGAGCGAGAAGATTGCAATATTACATCTATGCGGCTAAGCTAAAATAAAGTCAAAGAAAAATAAAAGAAAAAAGAAATAATAAAAAGAGAGAATTGTTGAGTTTTTTTTTTCTTCTAGTGTGTGTACCATGTATAAATGATATTTTTTTTGGTATTAAAAAACATGCGTGTCCGTAATAGAATAATATCTTTCTGCGGGCGGTTTTTGTTAGCGCGAACAACCGACCGTTGTGCTCGTCGTGCTCGCTATTCGTACATTGCGCGACGACCATTGCAGTTTTCGCTGTTATTAACTTGGCTGAATGCAAGTGTACGGTGTACGCGTGTGCGCGACTGTCGCTTTTTGTTATTTCCTTGTCATTCGCGTGGGGACACATACCTACAGTGTTCACGGCGGGGAGAGCCAATTTTTATTGCGACAAATCATATTGAATTTCGACGGTTTCGCAGCGAGGACAGATGCGAAAATTTCTTGCGCACTGTCGGAAGTGCGGTTTTGTGTAAGGCGAGAGAGAATTATCGGATGGAATTATATAGGAATTATACAGGATCGAAATAGAAAAAGAGAGAGAGAGAGAGAGAGAGAAGAAGAATGAGACGGAACAGGCGGACGAACATGAGACAGTCGAATAATGAGACTTGTAAGAACATAATTTACGAATAAGCACGCGTTAATTTATGCACAATAACTGTTTATACATATATTATTATTATTTATAGAATAATGTGAATGAAAAAAATCTCATGCGTGTGGAAACACTGCGAATTTATTGACACTATCGGTTGTATTTATGCGAATAAATTTGTGTTCAGACGTTCGCACAATGGTTCTGCAAATATTTTTCGCATTTCAAATAGTCGTTAATTAATTTCGCCTACATTAAAAAAACCGTATGTTTTATTCTATCTGCGTAGAATTTTGGACCGTCGTGCGCGAGAACACGTCGATAACGTGTAGCGTCCGCGGAGCGCGTGAAAAAAAAAAAAAAAAAAAAAAAAAAAAAAAAAAAAAAAAANAAAAAAAAAATCGCGCCGACGGAGAAACGTCGGAGAATTTAAGGAAACCACCACCATCCGGGGAGGGATCCGCATTGTGCCGGTCGAAAGACGTACCCGAATGATTAACGAGCTGTTAATTACTCCACTGAAATATGTATGACGGGCGTTAAACTTTCGCGATATTCGACAGTTTTGAGAATCGCTAAGCTACAACTGAAGGGCCTTAATTATGTGACTCGGAAAACTTTCCCGATTTTATCTTGCTCGCGACAAACTTCGAGTTAAGTCCATGACAAATTCGATTCTTATTTGCTCGGACGAAAATTAACGCGAAATAAAGAACTTATTGATTAAACGCGTCTGCCGAAGATTCGTCCGAATGATTTTTTGCGACAAAGATAATTCTCGAAAATACTTGTATGCGTCACATCGCTCCATCGTTTAACGTAAGAAATAACATCACACGAGTTCAATTTTCCTCATAGCTCTCTGAAAGCTTGAACTCGTGCTACTACCTTTATGTACACCGCTCATATGACACTTATTACACGTTTGTCGGAATAGATCGTTACATGTGCGTCGAAGCGCATGTCACTCACATTAGAACCGGAATGACGGGACCCATATTGCGCGCGCAAATAGTACTGGATTTCTCATCACGTCGTCGGCCGAACGATTTGGCGAAACGAATACGGACTTTCGCGGCAATTGTCGGCTTCGATCGGCCTCGCGAGACATTTTTCTCTTCAACGCGCGGGGCGGCCGGCCGGCCGCGCGCTCTATTGAATATATCGCCTATTTGTCGAGGGAGGTAACAACGTCTTCTTCTTCTTCTTGCTCGTTCGTTCGCGCTTATCGCGCCGCCCGTTCCGACGACTTTTCCTCTTGCCGCGTTCTATCCAGGGCGCGCTGCTCTCCTCCTTTCCGCGCGTCCCGGGACTGCAACCGCGCTTGCCAGAAATATCAATTTGCGCGGGAGTGGTAACAGTTTGCTTGATTTGGCACGGTGCAGCTTACGTCCGAAATAAATCACGGCGAGTGCGATGTCGGGGTGCCCGGAAACCGATTGTCTATGCGGGGATTTGACGTGAGTATAGCGGCGGAAAGGGAGGAGCGGCAAATTCGACGTTCCCCGGCGTACGCGATATCTCATTTCGACGATTCGATGTCTTGCTCGTTATTGTCAGAGTTCTTTTTTTTTTTTTTTTTTTTTTTTTTTTTTTTTTTTTTGCGTCCGATCGATAATAACTCGATTAGAGAGAAGTGTGTGCCTCTTTATGCACACACGCGAGGAAGGTGAAACAATATTTGTCTCTGTTTAATTATTCACTTTGAAGTCGGCAGTAATGTCGCGACGCCTCGTTCTGTCATCGCGCGCAATAAAGCCGTCTTTATCGTTGAATGAAAAAAAAAAATTAAAAAGCATCTATGTATCGACAACCGCGACGGAACAAGCGCGCAACAATAAGTTACAACGGCGAACGATGATAATTGTTAACTCCGACAACGAGCGTTTTATTGTGCAAAAGAAGCGTGTACTCTCCGCAGGCCACGCGACGATATCCGTCGAAATGTATCGCACGCGTGTGTGCGATACGAAATATAACAATTTTATTTACAATAATACACAACATTTTGCACGCTTGTTTACGCATTTCGATAATGAAAATAGACACGTCATAATCAAGAAGGTATATTCGCGAATGAAAATTGCGCGTCCGGACGATTGACTTGCCGCGATCTCCGGTAGGATTCGCGCGAGCGATCTCGGCCGACGAAAGTCAGCGATGACAGTAGGTTTTTCGCGCGCGGCAAGTAAACCCCGGTCGAGAAATCGAGAGAGCCACACGCGGGAAAATAATAATAAGAGGAGCGCCCGCGGGAGGTTTGAAGGTACGTGGGCCACAGGCGCGAGGGGATTGGCGGTGGATGCATAATTGAATGAAAGCGTGGCGAACAGAGCCAAGGGGTAGTTCCTACGACTGGGAGGGGGCGGAATGCTATAATTTCAAGCCAGACAGTCATGCGTTATTCAGCGCTGAGGTACAGCCTCCCTCTGTCTCTTTCTGTTCTCTCCTCTTCTCTGCCTTTTCCGCGCCGTCCTTCAGAAGGAGGAGAAGGAGGAGTGAGAAAGGGGTGTCATCTCTTCATTCTATCTCCTGTCCTTTTCATTCCGCTGCGCCTTCGTCACTTCTGTCCTCCGCGTAACTCCTCGCAACCCTTCGCTTGGCTTTCACCCTTTCTCGATCGTTTTCGATTCCGCACTCACGGAATAAATCGGCGCGCGATAATAATCAACGCGAGGCTAATTCCTTCTGTGTGTTTCTCTGTTTCTAGGAAAGCGATAATCACTGGTGGGAGTCCTTCGCGAACGAATTCTTCGAGGAGGACGCCACCCTCACCCTACAGTTCTGTTTGGAAGACGGACCGAAACGATACTGTAAGTGTGTCTCCGATTACTTCAAGAAAAACAAGACTAAAAAAAACTGTCGGAGAAACCGACTGTCTCAGAGAGTAATTATTTTTTTATTTATATTTTTTTACCTTCATTATGTGAAATATCTTATTTTACTTTTTTTTTTATAGTTTTTTTTTTTTTTTTTAAACCAAGGTGACATTCCTGAATAAATTCCTCCAGCTATCTGTTCGCGTCATCCGCGCTAATGCGTCCGATAATCATGTCTGCCAGTGCGAGATAATTTCTTGCATCTTGGCGATATCGCGCGCGACCCATTGTCGTCGATACTTAATCGCCGGCGCGTTTCGCGCACGATAGATACTCGCCGTCCTCCCGTTCTAAATAATAACGTGCCACCGCGCGGCAATTTTGCAGTCGGTGGATTTTAATGTCTGTTCTCGCACACATCGTCGTGAGGATATACGACGACAACGTGATTACATGTCTCGTGGAATACGCGTCGTGTTGTCACCTGGGTATAAACGACAGGCTCGCCGCGCAAGTGAGAGACGCGCGGCGAAACAAGCGCGATAATGCGAAATGCATTTTGCAATCGGAAAGAAAACGCAGTTGCTCCAACAATTATTGCGCGTTTCTTTAAACGCAATTGTAATTGGTTGCTTTAAGTATCATCGATCGGTTTCAAGATAAAGTTGTGGATCTTATCGCATCTCGTTTTTTTTTTGCAAAAAAATAAAAAAAATAAAAAAAAATAAAAATACACGTTTATCGTATTTATTTTGTAAACTATTCTCACCTTTATCCTTTCAGCGATAGGAAGGACGTTAATACCTAGATACTTCCGCTCGATATTCGACGGCGGAGTGACAGAACTTTATTACACACTGAAGAATCAGAAGGAGTCGTTTCATACTACCACAATATCATTGGACTGCGAACAATGCACGATGGTCACGCAGTACGTAAAGCCGATGTTCGTTAAGGTACGAATAGTCCTGTAACAGAATTTTATTATATTTAATATTGTATATATGTGTATTCGAACTAAATAAAAATAATTGAAATAACTAAAACAATAAATTGAGTGGAAAAGTAGTAGTAAAACTTTCGTGGTTTACGTGATCACAAAGTTTATTTATTGCAACATATAATATGTACGCAAACGAGAGAGAGAGAGAGAGAGAGAGAGAGAGAGAGAGAGAGAGAGTGTGTGTGTGTGTGTGTGTGTGTGTGTGTGTGTGTTTGTATGTTTGTGTAGATAACAAATAAAGATTGCTATTTCAATTCGACTGCAAAAAAATGTTGCGAAGGGATATAAAAGGGATTAAAGTTTAATTGAATTTTCGTAATTTCCGTGAAACTTTGTTTCCCGGCTTCAAGTTCTCTGTGAACTCTCTCTCGCGACGAGACCGGCGTTGACATGCGAAATCAAGCAGACTCCCAAAATAGACGAGACAGATATTGTTATGCAAAACTCATTCCAGGTGTTAACGGAGGGTAGGTTAATATTGGAGTTCACCTTCGACGATCTCATGAGGATAAAGTCATGGCACATGACGATAAGGACATATCGGGAGCTTATGCCAAGATCTGTCGTTGGCATGCAGCAGGACCCGACGATGATCGAGCAGCTCAGCAAAAACATCACCAGGCAGGGCATGTCCAACGCTACTCTCAACTACCTTAGAGTAAGTGTCCCACGTTGTAACAATAGTCATAAGTGACGTGTTGACTCTTACAATACACGCTTGACGATGTACATACACACGCCCACGTTCGCGAAAGTGTATCTCCGGCTATCCGGGTTACGGATCCACCTTCTCGCTGCGCTCGGAAGCGCTTTCACCGGAGCGCCCGCGCAATTTCGCTGTGTATCCTCCCAAAGCCGTTTGAAAAGCCTGTCGATTGTTACGTCGGCTGCGGGAAAGTCCTCGTCCATTGTTGGACCGGTACATGATGTTCGGAAACGGCCTGTCGTGAATAGTTTCTTCTCGCGGATGGAGAGTCTCACCGATGACAAAAGTTCATGCGTAATTTGCCGGATAGATATCGTCGGCGTGTGAAATTTTCTTCAGTCGTTCTTCAAATATTATCGCGCGATCTTCGTGTTTTGAATAGTATTAATGATTAGTAATATCAATCAATCAACAATATTAATTAACGAAATATAATGTTTCCTTTTCGAATTGCTACTCGAATGTTTGATCATGTTCTCACATTGACGATTCTCACTGTTCTAGTTGTGCGTGATCTTAGAGCCGATGCAGGAGCTGATGTCGAGGCATAAATGTTACGCGTTGTCACCTCGAGACTGTCTGAAAACGACCTTATTCCAGAAATGGCAGAGGATAGTTGCCCCGCCGGGTAAGAGAGGTAGACGAACAGTTGCTTTACATGAGAAGCACCAGCCAGTGGGGAAGTTGAGTTGGCCGACGGTCCTAAACGACAATGAGAAATCGGGTTTTCTGCCGGCAATGTTGTTGATGTTGTTCGCCGGTGTTTTCTTTCTCGCAATCATCTCAAATTCCGTCAGTTTGTTCGCGACAAATTGGTGGAACGAGAAACGCGTTATTAACCAACACCAAATATATACTAGCTATGCCAAGCGTGTTTCTCTGTAAAGATTTTCTGAGTGTCCAAAATACAAATTGTATTCGTGAGAGAAACATAGAAATAGATCTAATGAATACACATGTCTATATGTCTTGTTTATCGATGCATGCTTGTGCTTGTACAAGTCAGAGACCTTTGATAATGAGAAAGGTCCACAGCTGGGTAGTGCTCTTTACGTTTATCAGTGTGTTAGCTACACACGTGGCCAAACGTGGCGCAGCGTCATGCTCACGAGTTGTACGTTCTTCTTCAGAATCGCAACGACCGGCCAGTAAAAGAAGAAAGAGGAAGGGTAGTACTTCCGGACCGGGAAACAATGCGCCCCCTGCGCCCAGTAAGAAGAGGTCACCAGGACCAAATTTTTCCCTAGCGTCGCAGGTAAATTTGTAAAATTTAGTCTTTAATTTTATTGTACAATATGTATGTCTATGAAATAGTCATTAACTAGCGCTTTCTTTAGGACGTGATGGTCGTGGGGGAACCTTCTCTAATGGGTGGGGAATTCGGGGATGAAGATGAACGATTAATAACGAGGTTAGAGAATACCCAGTATGATGCCGCGAACAATCTGGACCCCCATAGTCATGATACGGCAGGTGGTCCACCGCCGCATCCGCATCAGTTCCATTCGGAACCGACGCCTGGGAATTCATGGCCTCCAGATCGTGGTCCCGGTCCACCACAAGGCGGTCCTGGAAGCCAGGTACCTATCGTAAAACTGGAACATCCTTCTGAACATGGAAAAACTTAGGTTTGCGAAGTAATAAAGTAAATTGAATAAACATAAATGAAGCTAGGTTTACAAAATAAGATGTAAATTTGCAAGTGTTTAAAAAATGTTGAGGTTCAAACGATATAGACAACTAACTGTTATTTATGAGCATAGTATAATACAATTTAAGAGTTTAACTAAACATTATTTTTAGGGCGTTCAAGGTGGTCAAGCAGGGACGCCTGCGGGTGTGCAAGGATCCCAAGATGCAAGTCAACAACAGCAGGACAAAAAGAGCCCCGCAGTGAGCCAGTGAGGCCAGGAGTCCCCGCGCCCCCCCACCAGGGGGCGACGGGGGCGCAGGCCCAAGAACGTGGCTCCCTAGCGGGGCGAGAATCTTAGCCTCCCCACTGCCGCCGCCTATTTGGCCTCCGCAGCCGGCTCCGCGACTGGCAGGCTGTCATCGCATATACTTCCGGCTTTGGCCTGCCAGCCCGGTCTGCCAACAGCAACATCGGTAGCAAGTCATCATCATCCGGAGCAGCATCCGCAATTGGGTCACGTGGCCGCCGCCGCCGCCGCTGCAGCTGCCTCAATGGGCATGGAATCTTCGGAGCTGATGGCGATGGCTCATTACCAGGCGCAACAGCTGCAGCGACAACTAATGGCCGAACAGTCAGGCGCCCCGATGCTGCCGCCTTCGTCTGCTCAGCCTGCTGGTGGAGGTTTGACGCAGCCGCAGGGACTCCATGGGCAGCAGCAGGGTCAACTACAACCGGGCCAAGACCCGTTGCAAAGCCTGGTCCAACAACTGCTCTGTCTGCAGCAGATCGAGTATTTTCTCGCGCAGCGCGGTCACAAGTGATCCCATTCAGAAGAACCATATAGGAATTTTGCGCGAAAAAGTGAACGGAAAGAAGACGAATCGGAGAAAACTTTTGACGTTTGGAACTCAAAGTGAGAAGTGTGTTTATGTGGTGGTTCATAAGTGCCGGTTTGTTGATAGATTAATTTCGCGCGTCGAGTCCGCGATTGACCGTCTGCTGCTGATGATGATGATGTTGCACCGCTGGTCGAAAATAAATATAACCTATACAGCGGCGTCTGCTCGAGTTCGATGATTTTTCTAATTCTCGAACAAAGGGGAGGTGGCGCGGTGTCTCCGAGTCTACCACGATGATACGGGGAAGGTTGCGGAGGATCTGAATGGAGGACGCTGCAGAAAATGAGAAGAGAAGTAGTTTGCATCTCGTTGCTTTCGTGGACCGCTATATATTGCTTCGGGACACCGTGCTGACAGACGGTAATCTCCGGATAGAGGAGATCGGGCGTTTTAGTGTGTGATAAAAAAAAAACTTTATGTCAAAAATTATGTTAAATATAAAAGGTGGAGAGAGCGGTATGAGCGCGGGCAGTAGTCACACTTTCGCTTTCAGTCGATGAAGAATAAGCGAGAAACAAAATGGGAACGTTAAACGCCACGCTCGTCAGGGACGATTATCCGCTCTGGCGCGAGCTGTGAATGAATCTCTTATCCGTCAACAGTATTGATATAATTAAATAGAGTAAATGAATATAAAATATATATTGTAAGAACTATTATCGTAAGTACGTATTTGTGCAAACGTCAGTGTGAAAGTTTGACAGAATGCGTAGTGTGACAGCGATTCGGCGTGCGCGAAAGAAAGTAAAGAGAGAAAGAAAGCGAATGCTTGAGAATGTGGGGCGAATAGAGAATGAACCGAAAAGACAAGAGCGAAGAGTCACTTTCGATTCGAAGATTCATATTAAAAACGTGGGAAACCGATCGAACGCACCGATGACATGTGAAACGTCGCTGCTTATTTCCGGAAGTTACATTGTAGATTTGTAATCTGTGTAAATATTGATAATTTTTCGATAATCTTTTTAATATATTTTATTTGACACGCGTCGATGGAAAAAGTGCGGGCAACATAAAATCGATACTTTTATGCGAAAATCAATTGCAAAAACATTTTTGTTCTTCTTTTTTTTCAACATTGTTTTGCGGTTTGCAGCATATCGCGGTACGACACGTAGCACAGCACGTACCCACGTCTTACGGAAATTAATAAACGTGACTTTTAATTTCGTATGGGACATACCTAGGTGAATTTATAATTGTTTACTGAACTCGGATCATGCTTTTTTTCTTATTTCTACTGACACATGATGTTTAGAACTTTTATAATTTTAATATTATTGCGTCTCTCATGATTCGATACTTTGTACAATGTTTTATGTATAATATAAAAACCACATCATGCGCACACAAACAACTTTATTGTACACGTAAATTTTTATTGAATGAAGTTCCTTGCGTTTTTAACACATCATGTATGTTCCTCATTGTTTATATGCTCGTCGCATTTGTTCCTATTTTTATATTACTCTTTGTGATTCGACACGCGATTCCTTTCTTCCATTCAGAACTAGTATCGATCGATTAACGTGTTGTTCGAATCTCTACTTTTATTTAAAAAAAAAATCTTTTATATTACGATATTTCTTTATATATATGTGTTTAATACGTTACGTGATTGTTGTCAGATTTATTTAAATTAAATTTATTTAAATTAAAAAAATATATAAATGAAGGATTTAGAATATTTAATGAAACTTAGACAAATATTGTATATATGTGTTGTTTATTCTCTCCGTTTCTTCGAGGAGATTCGAACGCGCGCGTTAACGTAATTTCTCAGAATGTGAGAAAGGGAAACTTGGTTTTAGTTAGTAATTATCATGCATCACACAAATGGGCGATTTGTTGTTGGCGTTTTTACTGTATAACTAACGTCATTACTTGAGCACGACGTTGGTACGAGCTTTGCTTCGATTGTGGAATTCAAGCTCCTTGATACATACACGTGCGTGCATACACACCACATATATTACACACGCGCGCACATAGACACACGCATAGAAAACACATAAGCGCTCGCAAACGGACGGACAATTCGCGTGTCGCAAAGTGCTCCATTCTTGCGAATATAAAATCGTGATCGTGAGTGAGTCGTTCTATGAAAGAGAAAAAAATGTTCCCCCTCTGTGCGTCGTTCTCTCTCAGCCACTATCTTTCTTATCACTATCTTTATCGGTCGTTTACCAACGGGTGGAGGAAATCGGCGCGTAGAGGTGGAATTTTTTTTACTCGTCTCGTGGAAAACGATTCAATACCGGCACATCAGATTTCAAATATCGTTCCTTTGACTTCTTTTTATTTCCTGTCTGAAAAGAAAATGGTCATTTTCGCATTCTGCCTCCGGTTCGAATTACAAACATTACGTATTGATTTTATTTCTTTTGTACTCTTTGTTGCTTTCTTTAGGAACAAAGCAAGTTACGTCAGAGTGGAGCGCGTTTCAATCGATTCGAATCTAATTCAATTCATGTAATTATCAAGGAATTGCAATTGCAATTGCAATTGCTTGTAAATTCTGCAAAAAACTTTATCATGTGAAAAGTTTCGGCTGTTAAGTTTTATCGACAACTTAACAATTAACAATTATGGTTACTAAGCAGTTCTTAATTGTTAAGTACATATTAAATAATATTTTGCGTCACTCTTTGCGACAGAAAAAAATGAAATCACAGCTTATGTACAGAATATCCATAGACCAAGAGATGCGTCGCGTGTACTTCAGAAAAAAAGAGAGAAAAGAAAACACGTCCGTGCCGATATGTTCGCAAACACTACACTTACATACAATCTTATGTAAACGCACACATACATACATACATACACACACACACACATACGTCCTAGAATCACACACGAATCATAAATTAGTTAGATAAGCCACGCGTGAAACCAGCACAGTCCTACGGCGTGAGAGTGTGCGAAAGTAGGGGAAATGTGTATTTCCTAAAATACACTCGTATGTGCAAAGAAAAAAAAATGAAGAAAAATGCGAGAAAGCCAAGGCGAAATAGCGGAAAACGTAAGAAAGAGAGTGCTGCACGTATGGTTAGGTGCGTGTACGTATGGATGTTTTAAGCGCGCGCGCATGTGTTACGCGTGCGCGCGAGAGAGAGAGAGAGACGAGAGACGAGAGAATGAGAATGATTATTTCGACACAAGCATGCAGTGGGTTTTAGCATAAATGATCTATTGACAAATGTTGTATATTATTACGAATTATAATGACACTAATTAATTAATTAATTAATTATTATACCCTAATAATGTGAATTGAATTTAAACGACAAAAAATACACGAAATGATAAGTAATAGGCGAACAAATTTTTAATTGTTAGCGAAGCACACACGGAGCCGGAAAGTTTATGACGCGCCCTCCCGTTCTCAGGCTCTTTCCTCTTCTCTTTTTACCCCGTCAGGCCGAAAATTCGGAAGTAGCAGTAGGGGCCTTCCCGATTCGCTTCTCTCGACGAGGCCGAGACGGTGCGCGCAAACGTTACGCGGCCAAGTCATGCGGAGGAGGCGAACGTGTGGAACCTTAAAATCCTTGCCGGGAGAAAGTGCATCGCCCAGTCTCGAGCGGCACGACTCCGCCTTCTATATAAGGAAAATAATTGCATTCTCGGTGATCCCCCGTTGTATAGTTCCAATACCCACATAGTAACAACAACGCGGCGGCATCAATGCCGCCACGCAAAGCGAAGTCTCAACATTCCGCAGTATCGAGCTAGTCACATTTCACAGGGAAAGAGCATATAATTAATCGTTGTAAAGCCGACCGATGAACACGATTTTCACGGCCGACTCTTCACCAACGATGAATTAATTTTAACTCGCAGTATTTTCGTCGATTCTTCGCCTCTTTCCAGCCTGCATCTCCTCCGCCGAGAGAGCTATTTTAGCTCGAAACAAAGGTCCTACCGAGAGAGAGAGAGAGAGAAAGAGAGAGAGAGAGTCGTCGCGCTACGGGGAAAACATCTCGGCCGCTACTTCATGATCGTTCGTCGCTTACATGCGATCATCATTTAGTCATGTGCGAAAAAGTCGAGTTTTGAAAGTCGAGTTAAGCAAATAAGAAACGCGCGGAGAGACACATACACACAAGAGAGTCTCGGTGGACTCTCAAGTCAAGTGAAAGTATCGATCGTAAAATAGAGTGACAGTCGGTCGCGGGCGAACGACCCGGGGTCGTGCGCTAATCCGCGAGGAAGCGGCGTTTGATTTCTGTCGCACATTTCACACTCCTTTCTTTTTTTCCCCACGCGCTTTTATGTGTTTCTTATGAGAAAAATACTTTATGCGCCGAGCAAAAAATTATCTCCTTGGTGGTCCAAAGAGATAAAATGCAAAAGGTCACAGAATTTACGAAAGAAAGCCGCAGAGTCACACACGTGAAAACGGTTCGAATTATTTCGAATAATCGATATTTTAAATACGCAAATAAAATATGAAAAAAATTTCTGCGGTGCCCACAAATGTGTTCTCGTTTCTTGCCGCGCTGCATTTTATCATTGACATCAATTCTTTTCAGAATTGCGGAGGTCCCCGCTCCCTTCACTCTCCCTCCCCCTGTGAAGCAAATTAAATTTCAGATCGAATTAATTGAAGTTCACGAGAGAATATTAATTGCGCCGAATGAGGAGAATTTAATGTAATTCTCGCCGTGTAAGCTGTATCATTAAACATATTAAAACGTTCAATTGAAACCCTTCGAACGATCTCTCGCGCGTATCGGTGCGCGATTCACGAAACCGCCGACTGATAAACAGCGCGCGAGCGCTCGATTAGCTCAATTTCTATTCATCAGCAAGATTTGGCAGGAATGACATTTTATCGCGATGTCGTTTGTAATTTCACGATTTAATATTTGATAAACTCTCTCTGTTAATAAGCGAGAATTGTTCCGGCTCCGGCTCACTCGCCGGAGTATCATGAGCATCGAGCGTGTTCAATCGATCAATTTGCCGAAATACCGGCGATTCGCTTGGTCAGTATGCACGATGTAAATGGGAATGATTGGGTGTTTGAATATGGGAAATTAGAAAGGAGAGAGAGAGAGAGAGAGAGAAAGTGCGCAGCCACATTGTTCGTCTATACAAAGGATGTTATTTCTTCTGCAAATTGTCGCAGACTTACCGCGCTCGCTTTATCTTTATTGTTGATTTTCAATCGATTGAGAGTTTTTTCTGTCGCCAGGACAATTCGGTTCTGAGTCGGAAAGATCCCAAGTACATTTTGGCTCAGGGATAGGGTGAAAGGGCGTGTCGTATTCAAAAGGGTTACTTGCGAGCTTTGGACTGAGCGGCCGAATTGATCCTGTGTTCTCGAGCAATAAATCTACGAAAGAGATTCGTAGATTTATTCGATTCTCGCGATTAAGTCGGATCTTTCAACCGATTGCTTCTTCTAAACGGGGGAAACCGAAACACGCAAATGTGTAATAAGAAATGTTAAAAACAAGGATTCTAGTGTGCAATCAAATCTAACCAGTTTTCGTCCGAACAAAACTGTACTTTTCGCTTCCCTCGAAACACACATCCGAATAACGACGCGTTAATTTTATACCGTTCGCGAAAGATACAAAGAGGATACACTGTTTCAATTACGAGACCGTGATCAAATAAAGAGCACAAATTTTTAAACTCTCACCGCGAATCAAATTGCATATCACCGACCGAATCTCAGGAGGAGCAGAGAATTAGTGTTTACTTAATGTGCGAGAAAGTTTGAATCACACGTAGCCGCGATCCCTTGTTAGACCGATTTGGTGTCTCCACCCTGTGTTGCTTGACCCGACGCTGTTTCGAAACGCTACCACTTCAGAAAGTCCAAAAAAAAAAAAGGACGATAAGTATTTCCGGAAATAATTTGTTGATATAAAAACACGATCAGTCCTGTGTGTGTGTACAATGACGAAAGAAGAAAGAGAAGACAAAAAAACAAAATCGTGCCACTCGTCGCTGCACGACGAACAAGCATGAAGGCAAACAAAAACAAAAAAAAAAAATAAATAAATAAAAGAAAAAACCCAGTTGTCGTTTCCAAGTTCAGAGGACCTGCTCATCCACACATTCGCGTCGCGCGATCAATCTAGCTACAATTAACTTGTTTCGTCGACACTACTACGGGGTTCGGTTTAAACAAACACTTACACTTCTGTAAATATCGGTCCTCTGAATTTGGCACTGAATCCCGTGCCTCCACGGTCGGTGTGTGAAGCAGTCCTAAGATCGGCGAGTCGATCAGATCGTCAACACCGGGCCAGTCTTGAGCGACGATTGCGCACCGATAGTGTGTAAAATATTAGCGAATTAGGGACGATTTAAATTGCGATCAAGAAAATAATTATATTACCCTATCCCCGATTTAAGTGGACATGGGCCAGAGAAGAGACTCGGTGTGTATATTATATTAATATACATTCACATTCGCATACAACGTACACACACAAAGACACGTACACGTACACACATACACGCACACACATGTACACGCACGCAACAACGCACAAAAGTTGGCCCATCGCCATGACCAATGAAGTAATTAAAAGGAAAGGAGAAATAAACAAAAAAAAAAAAAAATAATAAAAATAAAAATAAATTGTCATCTAATTACATTTTTACGCACTCCAAAATTTTTATCCTCGTCATTTGTATCATAGCAACCATGTGTTTAAAGAAGAATCCACATTATATGTATGTAATCAAAATTGTAACTGATAAAACGTTAATAAAAAAACGATATCCGAAAAAAAGAAAATTTCTCTCTCGTCTGTGCCGTCGTTGCCGATCTTTTATTTCTGTTTCTCCGTTCACACACAATATGTGATACTTGTTTATGTAAATTTTTCAACTTTTTTAATTATAACAGTTCTTTTTAAAAAATAACTAACACTTATTTCTGCAAAGTATTTGTTTTACGAACGAAAGAAGAATACATATAGATCCTCTTCTTGGCAATCATTGAGAAGTAACAGGTACGCACACACAAAAGAGGTTTTTAATCAAAAATATTCATCGAATTTACCTTACAGAGATGATTGTTCGCAACAGCTGCGGGTCGTCGACGTTAAATTAACGAAGATTAAACCTTTCCTCCGCTCTTCTTCTTCGAATTCGGACACGGTAGCCGTTTCTCTCTTTGCGAATTTCTTCATTTCACTTTCGGAGAAAGAGAGATGGCGCTTAACAGATGGCTGCGACAGATCGACCTTGAATTCTCGAATATCGAGAACTCGCAAACCGATTGGTCGTTCTTCCTATCGCGCAGCCGCGTACACACATACAGCGCTCCGATTAATGTAAACCGGAGCACATGCTCGCGCAGCAACCTTCATCCATCCTCGTCTTTCACAGTTGGCGGTTATTATGTTCTGCTGGTGTTGCATTTGCGCGTACGGAGGTTATGCGAATGAATGATCATGAATTCTTTGCGTGCGCTCGGTTTCACCGCAACCGATTGAGTGTCTTGTTGACGCGAGAAAAATAATGCGCATACATTATCGGCGTAATATAACTGAGCGAAAACGGTGGGGAAAAAAAAACGCAGAAACCGGCGTAACACACGTAGCTTACACGTTATTACGTATCGCGTATATAACGAGTACTCGGCAAGAATTACGCGCGAGAAGCTGTCGGGATCCGTGCGAATGAAAGCGTGAATAGACCTCTTTGAGTGAAAATTAGCGCACATTAGCGTTGTCGAGTTCAAACAATGTACGTGTGGAAAATAACCGGTTACGCTCTGAAACGATTCAATCGCGGCTACAGTGCAAACGGCAGGTTGGCGATCGTTTTGGAGCAGTGCAATCCGCAGAGTTGCGGCGGATTTTATCGCAAGCGGATAAGCGTGTGGCTGCGAGAACAGGGCACGCAGGTTACGCGTGCCTGCAGGCAACAGTTCGAGTTCATCGCTGCGCAACGTGTCCGACGATGCATACAGATATTCCATTTGTACACAAGATTGTGGGACGAAATGGCGCTGAGGGAATTCATGCGCTCGTGGAGAATGAGAGTCGCCAGGAACGCGGAGAATTTTCTGATAAGCGCGGTCGGCATTACGGCTTACAATTGGGATCGCGACAGAATAAGTGACCAGGAAATTAATAGGTGGTTGTGTCACTTATCCTATAATTAGATTTACGTGTATGTATATATCTTTTAAGTATCTTGTTACTAATGTATTAAACTTCTTCTTCTTGCAGGTACAACAATGAAATCGAAGGCATTTACAAGTTGCGAAATTCCACAGTTGTCTGTGCGAAATGTCATTTGCGAATTGTTATCGACGTTGTACAGCCCGATGTTAAATATTGCAAGTGTAGCGGAGCTCAGTCCACTTGTGCCAATCATGATCGTAGGTTTCTCTTTTCTCTTTGAATTTTTTGCTGTGTTACTTGTTTGTTTCATTTTATATGTTCTGTTATGTAACGTATACACAATATATAGCAGATGATTGGCAGCCATTTATTGAGCGCCAAGACATGTTGATATGGAGAAAAAAGGAGCCTGATTCCGGTGGACTGTTTGCGTATAAAGTATATGGTTCGTTCTCAGACGTTACCGCTGATGATTTTCTTCAAGTGCAAATCGATGTAGATTACAGGAAGCAGTGGGATCCTACTGCTCAGGAATTACAGATCATCGAGACTGATCCGAATTCAGAATCGTCTGTTGATCACAGTACTGACATTATTCATTGGGAGATGATTTGGCCTGTATGTGTGTCAAATGAACAAATTTTATCTTTCACTTGACATACATGGAATTAATTGATTCTCTTTTTGTTGCGCAGAAATTATTTTCGAACAGAGATTACGTCTATCAACGACGATGGGTCGTGGACAAAGAAAAGGGGCTTATAATTATTGTCAGTCGGGTGACGGAACATCCTGATGTGCCAGAAAGACGGGGAATTTACAGGTTTATAAGATAGTGATAATAGATATTCTAATGTTTCTCTTTTGTCGGCGAATAAATAATCTAATGCACTGTGCCATACGTGACAGGGTAAGGACATATTGGTCGTACATGGTGATAAAACCGTACACAAACTTCCACGAGCCCGGCATCGAATTCGGACTCACTTACTTCGATGATCCCGGTGTCGCTGTACCATCGGCTGTTACCGCGTGGGTGGCGCTAAGGGGTTTGTTTCTTCAAAAAAATCTACAAAGTAAATTACAAGATCTCTTCTAACAGTACAGTTGTATCTTATGTTTCAGGTTTACCGGATTTCTTGATTCGCATGAGACAAGCCTCGAAGGATTATCAAAAGTATAAACTTAGCATAGCCCGATCTGATAGCAGTCATCTCACTTTAACAGAAGAAAATACTTCGAAAGGGCAAGTCAAAGATGACGTAGAAGATAAGTTAAAGGAAGATGAAGGGTCGATGAGGGATTCTAAAGATCAACAAGACGATTCCGCAAAGAATCCTGGCGATTTAGATCTGATACGTGATACACAGAAAGAAACTGAAACTAAGGATATCCCTACCGTGGGTAACACCGCGCCCAAAGAGGAAAAAGGTTTATTGCATTATTTCTACCTCACAAAATTGATTGCGCTCTTAGATATTTGACAATTTAATTTAATAGTATGATTTTGACTAGTAGATACTTTAACGTGAATTCCGCACGGACGTAATAATAAATCCGCTATTGGTATATAGAACAGACTTGTGGAACAGACTTGATGATACTTGTGGAAGACAAGAGAAATGTCGTTAGTGTTTATTGGATCGGAGATACAGCGCGTTTTGCATACACAGCAAAAAATGAAATCGTGAACGTATCTCGTAGATTTTTTTTTGTTAAACGGTGGATTTTTTTTATAAAAACCAAAACAGAAGTAAAAAAATGAAAAGATTAAGACTGATTAGATATCATTGATTTTTTAAGTCTGTTTGCTCCGAACGTGTGTATCATATGTTGTAAACAGTCATGAAAGCAAGAACAACCAATTGTTTTTATTAAATTGTGGAATAAGGAATTTAGAATTGTGTATGTGAATATTTTACAGTAGCACGAACGGATGTGTATGAAAACGAAACAAATTTATTGTATTTCTTAACGCGGTATAAAACTAAGCTAAGATATGTATGCGTATACATGTACAAATATTTAATATGTGATGTATAAAAATACACTTGTGTATATTTATACATACTCGCGAATATGTTGTAGCAATTTTACATTTGTACATATGTGATTTCTGTATAAAAACATATATTATGTATATAAATATTATATATTTGTATATATATTATATTTATATATAAATATATAAAATGTAAATATATGTATATATTTATATATTAAACATAAATATACGAAGCAGTGACGTTACATTTCAATTTGTGAAAGAAATAATAGAAAAACATCATTGTGATAAAATAACATCGTCGTTTAAACTAAGTGTATTATAATTAAGTGTTATTTACCTTTATGATACGTAACATCGGTTATTCGTTCTCTTTCTAATATTTATCTTTTGGGCGTAATATATGATTGTCGAAAAGTCATTGTTATTAGTCAAGGAATTCGTGCAAAAAAATAAACAATTTATTGGTAACCAACAATAAGTTCCTTTTTTGTTATGCATATGATAGTCACGTTTGTAAAAATAAAACCTTTGGTAGCTGCAAATCTTTTTACACAACGTTTTCATCTATCACTGCATTGCTTATGAAATCATCACCCTCTGTGTCCAACTGAAAAACTATTTCATCTGGCAATCTCTTTGGCGTGGACACAAAACTCGAGCAATCCGCATCGTGACATTTTTGGTATAATTCTTTCTTATTCAAGTTCACAATCAAGTATATGTTGTTGCTCTTATGGTTTCTGCCAATGTTTTCGCAATATCTGTGTGAAACAACATAGAACAATAATATAATAATATTTATCTTAGTAATAATAAAAAACACACAAATAAAGATAATATTTATAAGTATCGCTTCAATCACCTGTTGCCACAAATTTCGTATCTTAGAGTTTTCTCTTTATCGGAGTATCGAACGACGCGTATCTTGCCAGGATTGACGAGATCGCGAATGTATTTGTCTATATCGGGATACGGCGATGTCTTGTCGTCGTCCCTCTTAATAAACTGTGTTGGTATCTTCGAGAACAGTTTCGCCGTCACATCGCTACGGTTGAAAAACTCGAGCAAGACCAAGTTCTGCTTGTTTGGAAAATAAGATATCAAAGAATCCAAGAATATTCCCAGTTCCTTATCCTTACATTTGTTCACCGGAGTGTGCGAACAATCCGAAGAAACCGTTAAGTACGATTGCTTTCCCCATTTGGTAGCCAAGTAGATTCTGAAATGTCTGTTTTTCGTATAGACACCGGTATCGACAAACAGCTTCTTGCCGTGATCGGTCTCCACCAGCATTTCCTCGAGATCCGTTTTGGCAAAGTGATCCAAGATTCCGTGTTTCTGCATGTTTTCCGACTTCAAATACAACATGATGTCGTTGCATACGGTCTTGACCAGTCTCCCGACGTGCAAGTTATCTCTGAAAGCCATATCCTTTATGGTAAAAATCACATGCCTGCTGAATTTCGTGCTGGACGTGGAGTCCAATATTAGAAAATTGCTTCTGTCACACAACAGGTGATAGTGATGAAGCAAATAAGCGCGTATGATGTCTATCAACGTTCTGGTCATGCGTGATCCGTCGCAAAGCGGATTTAATCCTATTAAATATTCCAAGTCCAGATACAACCAGCACGGTGAATCTTGCGGAATGACCTGTTTTTCGTTGACGATTCTCTGAAACGTCGATCGTACGTCTATATACAAAATTACATCGATAAAAGTCAAGATCGCGCGCAAGTCTTCGACATATACTCGCCTCGTACGAACATTTCTCCTCCGGCGGTTTCACCTTATAATACCACCAGTACACCTCGGGATGGGCGACGACGAATTTTCGACTGCCGTCGCTGGGTCGCTGATACACAAACGTGCAGAGTGTGTCCGTTCTGGTACTGTTTTCGGCAGCCGCGACCAACGCGTCCGCTTGTTTGTAAAATTCTTCCCAATATTGCGTCGGGCCTAATATATGCGACGGCATGACCCGGTGTGTTTTTATCCACGAGAGCTTGGACTTGCGTCTTTTTCGCGTCTGCATCTTGTTGCCGTAGAACTTTTTCGTGCCGATGAAGTTCATGTCTTCACGCTCGACGTACGAAGTTTTGGCAATCGATCCGACGATCCACGCGATCGTCGCGTATATATATAAATATATATAGGTTAGATTTTTTTTAACACCGTTTTAACAGCTCTCGCAGAACCTCTGCTGCTTCACACGCAAGTTCGAGCTCAATACACGTATGACGATTTCATAAACAAAACGTCTCTCTTGTAAACACACAAACAGCTGCTGATTAAACCAGTCGGCTTGTTTCCCGCCAATTTCGTGACAGCTACGCATATGTAGTTCAGCGGCGTATGGTGTTTAGAGAAGATACGCGCACGACATTCGCAGGCCAATGAAAATGCAGTCTTGAGCACGGGCGCGAAATTATGTTCAGGAAAACAATAAAAAATATCTATAAAAATACAGGAAAAATCAACAAACGTAAATGATGTTCTGACGATGAAAATTTTTTAAGCGTCACTCGAGCAGTTTTTAATATCTACAGGGAACAACATTTTTATACTTCTATTAAATGTTTATTACACGTCATGGACGTCCATTAAACATAGTATGTAAATAGGATGTAAATACTGCAACTTTTACTGCGTACAAAAAACTGAATCGTATAGTAATTATCTCGTCATCTCACAACTTTGTTTTAAAAAATTACTGAAAACCGGTCGTACGCGTGAAAGTAGTTATCTTTCTCTTTTATTCGCAATCGGAAATTCACGAGGTGAAAATACGATCGGCACACGTCGATTATCTATTGTATGCTAATTTTTTACGAACTTCAACAAGAACTTGAAGATGACGCACGTCTATTCATGCAATATTATGCTCTCATGTTAGTCATTGTATCCTAATCTTTTGTGTTCGATCGTGCACGCGCGTGATTCGCTTTCAAAATATGTATACACGATATTCATATGCAGAAGAGAAGATGAAAGATAAGAACATGACCTCTCATGAACGAAAGATATTTTATATTCGAAACTATGCGAAAAAAGTGTGTTATCAAAAAAAAAAAAAACAATTTTCATCAATTCTGTTATTTAAACACTCTCTTGCTATTTTCACATTTAGTTTTTTTTTGTGTAGTAACACAAATTTCATTACATCCGTAATGAAAATTGGATCGGCAGAAAAATATATAATAATCACACTTTCGTCGTGATAACAAATTTGTTTTATTCGTATTGTCGCCAAATATATAGTAAAAATATTTCTACTACTATCTGCGCAACGTATACTTTTACTATTACAAAAATTCTTCTATTACAAAATATGTTTCATGTAATTTGAGGATTTTGAAATATGTTTCATGTATTCGGGGTTCCATGCTAGAGTATATATACGCGTAGACAGACTGAGGTATAAATATAAAAATATCACTATAAAATACGCATATTATACACACTTCTAAAAAATCAAAAAATATCTTGCGCATATACCAAAAGGAAGACGATGACATCGCAGAACCTCGCTGCAGCTTGAATGACTTTTGAGATAAGAGGATTCGTTTTTTTTTTTTTAATTTACCAAGAGTAGCTAGTGCCCAAGCCAGTGAAGGTCGCGTGCACTACGGGTGCGGCAGCGTCGTACGCATAGGGAGCTGCGTAAGTCTTGGCGACTAACGGAGCGGCATGAGCGGTGTACGCGAGAGCTGGTGCGGCTGCGATCGCGGTCTTTGCCACGACCGGAGCGGCATAGGTTTTCAGGATCGGTGCAGCGGCGGCATAAGTAGCGGGCGCAACGGCGTATGCGGATTTAGCGTATAAGGAAGCTGCCGCCGGTGCGGTGTAAGTCGTGTACGCGGTCTTGGCGAGCAAGGGAGCTGCCGGCGCGGCGTAGGTCGTGTACGCGGCGGTCTTGGCGAACAAGGGTGCTGCTGGCGCGGCGTAGGTCGTGTACGCGGCGGGTTTGGCGATGAGCGGTGCAGCGTAGCTCTTGGTCAGGATGGGGCTGGAGTAGCTGTAAGCGGGCGCCGCGGCGTAAGCTGCCTTGGCTGCCAGGATCGGCTGAGCGGCGTATCCGTAAGCGGGCGCCGCGGCGTAAGCTGCCTTGGCTGCCAGGATCGGCTGAGCGGCGTATCCGTAAGCGGGCGCGGCGTATCCGTAGGACTTGGCGATCAACGGAGCGGGATGAGCGGCGGCGTAGGTGGTTGCCAAGGCCGGGGCGGCATAAGCGGCTTTGGTGATGATGGGCGGCGAGGCGAGCAGAGGCTTGGCCAAAGCTGGCGCGGCGTAAGTCTTGGTGAGCAAGGTCGGCGCGTAATCGATGGTGTGGTGCTCCAGAAGGGCGTCGTTGCTCACGTGGCTGTTGCTCACACGTACGGACGAGTGCGCGGAGTCCTCGGCGCGGCTGTACGAGGACACGACGTTCTGACCGGCATAGCCCTTCTGCGTGGATTCCTGGCTGTAGCCGATGCTGCTCAGGTCTGCGGATAGGGTGCCGATGTCGTATGCCGCCGGACCACCGGCGCTCGCCACCGCGATGAAAGCTGCGAGCACTACAAACTGTGATAAAAGAATTTGTTTTTTATCAATAATAATGTACAGTTTCTATATTTCAAAAATAAAATGCAGTAAAATATGTATCAGACACCGGTATGTCCTCCGTAAAACAGAGCGACGACGTCTGCTTACCTTGAACGCCATTCTGCTTGTTTGATGATGGAACAACTACTGACTTCTGACAAACTGGTAGCTGTCGACCACTATTTATACGCGGGTTGGGCTGTTCGGGGGTTTGATTGAATTTTGGACACTACCTTGTTCGAGGTGATTGGGCATGGTCGATGAGAGAGGGGGATCTCTTTGTGGGAAATCGGTAAGAAAGGAACACATATATATACAAAGGTGCAAAGAGAAGAAGTAGGTAGGATATAGCCGAGGGGGGAATATGGGCGAATTCCGGGCGTGGTCCTCGCGAAATTGAGACCGCGCATTTGGTGCAAGAGCGATTTGTTGAAGAACAAAAAAACATCAAAGATGCGACGACACTTGCCCGCGATAATTACCCCTTCGCTTCGCTCATGCGACGTGATTCATCCGCGAATAATTGATAATCCGCTGCGAAAACTTTACGAGATGTTTCCTTTTACGTAAAATGTGTGCGTGATACAATTTTACAAACTCACCGTGATATTATGGCACTCGCCAAGGACGCACTTTCTCCGAATTCTGGCACTGACATAAGCAATGTCATGTGTAACAGTGGGGACAAGGGGATATATGTAACTTCTTACGTGTGCGCAAGTGCTCCGGTTGTGTTATTAGATAAAATAAGCGCGATCGTTTGCGCACGTGTGGTTTCACAGCCTCCAGGCAACCAGGTTTAGTTTTATAATAATGAGCCTTAAGCAGAAAACGATTGTGCAAGCGAAAACAATTTGAACTACATTCGCGCACAAGGTCACTTATCTCTATATAATATCCCCCTTTTCAAAACTACAGATGGTATATTAACATAAGTACATTTGCTACAAGATTAAATCAATAAACAATAAATAAGATGATACCAGATACGAGAGTGAACGATCACGATTTTAACATTTTGTCCGCAAATTATATTTAATAAGATTTTAATAAGACACAGAATTTATTGTCAAGAAGTAATATAATTTATTATCCGTAATAATTACCTTTGCGCCGTATTTCGGACGCTTGTTCGATAAATTACACGGTATCTCAAAATCTTTAATTTCAATATTTAACGAAATATATGTCTGACGAAACCACGTTTGCTTTCGAAATCGATGCGACCCTTTACAATGAAGTTGATCACCACTGACGCTTTAGGTGATGGTGCTAGGTCATGGACAGACGTACCCCCTTCACACGTGTACGAGCTGTCAAATTTTTTCCTTTGTAAAAGTACGCTGAGTTTACACTCATCCGCCTTTCCGTCCGTGACCCAATATCACCCTTAAATCCCTTTTTTTTACGATCAGTGAGCCGGCGAGACGGCAGGTTTTAAACGCGTTCGCGAGAATATAAAAAACGTCCTCCGTTCACAAAAGTCGCTTAATTGCGACATGTCTTTGAGTTTTGATAATTTATTACTTAATTATTTAATAATTCAAAATTTTTCTGATACTTTGTTTAACAAAACATATGTTTCTTTATATTTTTAAACGTGTCGTCTGTATGACTCACGAGATAATTGTTTCTTTGATATTTTTTACATTATTTCGCAAAGTAAAAATTTATTGTTAATAATGAAATCATCGATTAAAATTACACACAAAAATAAAAATTAAAAAAAAATTAAAAAAAAAAACGACGAGGATGGGATTCGAACCCACGCGTGCAGAGCACATTGGATTAGCAGTCCAACGCCTTAACCACTCGGCCACCTCGTCACATCTCACGTTGTACTCCAAATGTTCATAGCATGATGTAGCATCTCGTTTCGTTATTTATAGAATTAATATCTGCGCCTTTCACAAATTACACAAGACTTGAAAAACCTTAGCTGTTTGATTCCAAACAGTTATCAGCTTCTAGCATACGAGCGATTCGTTGTACAATGCGCACGAGAAGTGTCAGAAAGTATCTCCTCAATGGACAATTACGAATAAAAAATATATGATTATAGCATTATAGTAATTAGATTATAAAAAAAATAAGAGTAAAAATGTGAATGAATTATTTGATGTAATTCATAACTTATTTCTATCGATACGTAAAATGTATATAAAAGAATTGTATATAAAAGAAAATTGTATATAAGAGAATTCAAAAAAAAAAAAAAAAACCATCCATCATATCTCAACGACAAATAACGATAATTATAAACAATTTCGTAATAGTTCGCGTTCTTGATCTTATTGCATACATTGCGGTCGATATCGCGTTTACCCCACGCAAATGTTTATAATTCTAATCTTATCGAGCGTATTCAATAAGTCAATAAGTATATAAATCCGACGTTACGATTATTTTTATTGTGTAAGAGACACGAGTGCTTGTTTCCGTGACCGTACTGTCTTCACCAAAGTTCCTATCGTCATCGTAAGTGCTCGAGCGCTGGCAACAGCTGTAATTCACTCTCTGTTGAGTAATCACTCGTATTCCGCTGTGAAACGTATCTAGTTTTCATAGTGCAACAAGGCAGTTTGAGGAGTGCGCGCGTTGCGAAGAATTCCAAGCGATGCAAAGATCAATCGGCATGACAGAGACGCTGGAATACACACCGGTGTACGATGACGCTACTGTTAAATTTCTTGAGAAAGAATTCGCAAGACTCAAAGGTGAGGACACACCTTTAAAATTTATTGCACCAAAATGTGTGTTTTTCATTACTATTTCGCAACACTGAATGTGTTAATGGATTAGAGATTTCTTTCGATTCAAGTGTTCAAGAGAAGATATTGACACAACTGTCAGAGTTTAATAAAATTTCGATGAAATTTTTACATTTCTACGACTTTGCAACGATGACGCGAATTTATTACAAGGACATTGATGATGTAATGAGTTCTAATAAAAATGTTTCAACATTATTAGTTGTTCTTACAACCGGACATCCTGTTGTGGCTAATTTAGAAGCGATTTGATCTTGAGCATCACATGAATATCATAAAAAAGTATACTTATTTATACGCGTTGTTTTTCAGACGAGTGCTACGTGGATCACGCGGGCGCTACTCTGTACGCAGACACACAGATTAAAAACGTCTATGCCGATCTGCACGGCTCTCTCTACGCCAATCCGCACTCCGTCGGTATCGCGAGTTCGTCGACACAAGATGTCATCGAACGCACGAGATACCGGTGAGAGAAATAAACAACAGACGAACGCTCGTATACTTAATAATATATTTGTTGGTTTTTGTTTTTTGTATACATTTTAAAAAAATATATATTTGATAAAATTTTTACTCCTTACGCAGAATCTTGAGCCATTTCAACACAACGCCCGACGAATACAGCGTTATTTTCACCTCAGGCGCCACAGCTAGTCTAAAGCTGATCGCGGATGGATTTCGTTTTGCGTCGAATAAAAGCAACGCGACTCGGCATTCGGGAAGCTTCGTTTACATGCAGGACAATCATACGTCAGTTCTCGGGATGCGAGATGTGATCGCCAGCCGAGGCGTCGAAGTCACCTGCCTCGGTCACGACCGGGCGTTTCAGATTTTCAGCCAGCGATCGCCCTCTCGCAGTTTTCAAGAGCATAGCGGCAACTCCCTCTTTGTGTATTCCGCGCAGTGCAATTTTTCCGGCATGAAATATCCCCTTAAGTGGATCAGAGACACGCACATCGGCGCACTTTCCGTGGTGGCTGGCGAACCGTCGGCCAGGTGGTACGTTCTGCTCGATGCGGCTAGCTTTGTTCCAACCAACAACCTGAACTTGTCTATTTTCAAACCGGACTTCGTGTGTCTGTCTTTCTATAAAATGTTCGGCTATCCGACCGGCATCGGCGCTTTGCTAGTCAAGAACTCCAGCTCGGATGTTTTGGAAAAGGTGTACTACGGCGGCGGCACTGTGGACGTCGCGCTCAGCTCTGAAATGTTTCACAAGAAACGTCAAGTGTTACATCAGAGGTGAGTGTGCGAAAACACTCATCGAGTAAACCGAGTTTTGTTTTATTTGTTTTATCTGACAAAAAACGTCAAATCCCGATTTACAGATTCGAGGATGGAACTATGCCGTTTCTGTCCATCGCCTCGCTAAAACACGGCTTCGACGTACTTTCCGAGCTTACCATGGAGCGAATATCGCAGCACGTGTTTTCTCTCGCCAAACTTCTGCATCGTTCCCTGTTGATGTTGCATCACTTCAACGGTAAACCGGTTGTGAAACTTTACTCCGATTCCGATTACGAGGATCGCGACACCCAAGGAGGTGTTGTTACGTTCAATCTCGCGCGATCGAACGGCGAATACGTAGGCTACATGGAAGTTGTTAACATGGCGGCGTTATTCAAGATACATCTTCGAACCGGTTGCTTTTGCAATCCCGGCGCGTGTCAAAGACATCTGTCCCTCTCGGCAGAGGACATTCTCGAGAATTACGAGGCGGGATACACGTGTGGCGGTGCCGCGGATTTAATAAACGGCAGACCAACCGGAGCGGTGAGAATTTCATTCGGATACATGTCCACTATCAAAGACGTGCAGACACTCCTCCTCATGATCAACGAGTGTTTCGTCGACAAACCGTGCGTCAGAAAGTATCCACAGTGGTGGGAAGATCACACGATAAAGATTCGCAGAAAGTACGGACACTTTTACAAGTCCAACATTCTGGATCATCCCATCAGGTGTCTTACAAGTAGCAAGAAAGATATCGCGCGCAGTACTTTACAGAACAATGTCCGTAACGAAAGTCAGAATCCCGATCCTATCGCATATTCCATAAACACTGACAAAATAATTACCCAAGCAGATAACAAATGTATCTTGCGACGGTTATTTGTATATCCTATCAAATCGTGCGGCGCTTACGAAATTACAGATTCGTGGAATCTGAATTCAAAGGGTCTCGAGTACGACAGAGAATGGATGATAATGTCGTCATCTGGAACTTGCTTGACGCAAAAACACGATGTAAATCTATGTCTGCTGAAACCGGTTGTTCTCAGAGATGAAAAAATTATGAAATTAACGTATCCAGGTCGGAGTGGTTGAATTCGATAAACTTATTTTTTTTGTTTACAAAATTTTAACACGGGTTTTTCTTTAATGGAATATCAATTTTTAGGAATGCCAACTATCGAAATACCTTTGGAAAATACTTATGAAAAATCCACGGAACATCCCGTGTGTCAGAGCAGAGTCTGCGAGAGCAGAGTGCAAGGTATCGATTGTGGAACGGAAGTTTCCGAGTGGCTCAGTTTGGCATTGGGCAAACCAAACCTTAGACTAATTCGGCAAAGTCACGGGAGACAAAAGAAAGGTAAAGATAAGGAAGCATTACATGAGATCTTAAAGTCACAGAAAGAGTACACTTGCACTGACAGAGAACCCATTATTTTCTTGTACAGGACTGGATAAAGCAGAACTATCATTTTCTAGTCAGGCGCAATATTTAATGATAAACGAAGCAAGCGTATCGTGGCTTATCGCTAAAATATCTGATGACTTGGATTTCGAAAAAGACACGGCAATTCATCGATTCAGAGGAAATATCATTGTGGAAGGTTGCAGTGCCTTTGATGAAACGCAATGGAAACATATACGCATAGGAAATAATCATTTTAAGGTATAAGTGTTCATGTAACTGATCAAGATATATGTATATTATTATAACACAAGATTTCATACACAGATCAATGGTCCTTGTACGAGATGCCAAATGATATGCATTGATCAGACAACTGGAAAAAAGACTGTTGAACCATTGAGAACATTAGCAGAAGAATTTCATGGAAAACTGAGATTTGGAATTTACTTGACACGATTGGAAAACACACAAAGTATACTTAAGATTGGTGACCATATTCACTATTCATGAATCATGTTTTTTAAATAAAAAAATCATCGTATGTAACTTCACGTACAAAACTTAAAAACACACTATCATCAACTACAGAAGAATCTCACACAGTTCTATTATAAGCCTTTAGCAAATTTATATAAACTCATACATATCAATATAACAAATTTTACATGAATGATACGATTGTACCTGATTTGTAATAAAAACGTTTATAGCAATACACAGTCTACAGGCTGTTGTTGATCAATCTTTCTCACTGGTTTACCCGCGGATACATCCTTGATCATGTCTGCAACTGCAGCAAAGTCAGGAAACGCTAGCGTTTGAAGCTTTGAATACACCAGTTCGTCATTGACTTGTACTTCAAAAGAAGCTAAAAAAAAAAAAAAACAATTAACAAAGAGAGTTATAAAACTCTCAATTGCTCTTCCATATCGGTGTGCGTTTGCGAACTTGCCTTGTCTTCCTTCAGCACCGGCTACGGTAGCATTGGGTACGTTCTTTTTTATTTCCTCCGCCAACTCAAGAAATTGTTTCTTGTGCCCGCACGAACCACTGTAAATTCAACAAAAATTCCGCAATTCTAACCTATCAACGTCACGTACTTGAAAGTTGCTCGCTTGCCAATTGTGTATTACACTCACCAGTATTCAACGTCAACTTTCACGTCCATTTCTTCTGCTGCATACTTTAATTATAGATAATCGTTACGTCCAATTCAACGCACATCAGGCCTGTTGCCTCCTCGCGTTCGATTAATTCAGTCCGTCCATTCGCTAAAAACAGCCCTTTAACTGGAGCGTAACCTAACTTCCGTCGCAAACAACAATCTGCAATAAAAATATTAATTATACTCTATACATCGCCTCCAACATACGCGTGTGATTCCTGTTACTTTATTTTAGTGACGTACAGGCACATTATTGGAAATAAAAATCCACTATGTAAAACACACACACATACAAGCAACTGCACGTACATACTAACCTGCGTGTCTCGCGTAATAACCTAACATCACTTTTCGCGTACGTATTTCGAGCAAATAAAAAATAAATAAAAAAAAAATAAAAAAATAAAAAAAAAACGAGTCACACGTCGGTCGGTTTGTCAATCGAAGGCAATCATCACGTCCGTCGCACGAAGAGTTTCCGTCCATCGCGCGATTCGAATTTCGAATTTTCATCGTAGCAGCTGTGGTAGCCCTGCGATGTCAGCGCCATTTTTTTTTGCGCGCACATCTGTCCATCGAGCTGTCACAGACGGGGCGGACGGACGTCGTTCACGAGGAGCCGCGATTTGTGACACGCGTATATATGTAGTGTATACATATACTACGGTATACGTCAGATTCGCGTGCGATCGCGTTTATACGCTCTCATGGGGCGCGAGATCCTCAGACGATAATCGGCCGCCGTAGTTCGGCGTTGTTCCGCGGGGCGCGGACCTTTTGAAAAGTGGAACACGTAGGCAACAGGTGTCCACGTTAAATGCCGCCTGACAGTTGACGTTAACACGGGTCGTCGGGAACGAGCGATCGAGTGCACACGTACACGCACGACAATTATTTGTAAAGAGAATTAATAATCTATTTCTCCCGACGACTGACAGGTACGCGTTCTCTTCACCGAAAGGAACAATCTTGGGAGCATCTTTGCTTGGGAGAGATCGTCATCGAGATGAATTACGACTATCTGATAAAATTTCTGGCGCTCGGAAACTCCGGCGTCGGCAAAACGAGCTTCCTGTATCAATATACGGATGGTACTTTCAATTCCCGATTCGTGTCGACGGTTGGAATTGATTTTAAGGAAAAACGAGTGGTAAGGATCATATAAATAACTTGCATTGATTTGCTATGAAGTCGGCTGTATATCTGGTTATTATTATTACTTTTGCATTGATTAAAGTTACTTGTGTACGACGCATTAGTTGCTCTCCCATCACTTAAAGTTTGCTGTGTGTGTGTGTGTTTTTAAACAAGCTTGTTACGCATATAATTCTTTAAAAGTAGCACAGTGATAACATTTTAAGTGACTAATGACTGTAAATTAAGTAAATACATGTGTGAACGATTAGATATATATGGTAATTATTGTGTGTGTGATATGTCAGCTGTGTAACAAACAAGACTTTCTTATCTTTCACTTGGATATTTTAAAGTAAACGCACATTTATTATTGCAGATATATCAGTCGGCGAATGGCAGAAGTCAACGAGTACACTTGCAGCTTTGGGACACAGCTGGTCAGGAGCGGTGAGTACATATTTTTTATTGAGTAAACAAAGAGAATATGTAGCTAAAAAAAAATGAAAAATATGTAGACACAATGGCATCATATGCATTTGTTGCACTCTGAGAAATTAGCATTAAAATTAGCATTAAATTAGAAAAAATATTGAGCAAATTGAATATTGATGTATTTACATTATTTATGACAAAAACAGATGCAATATTTTAAGCACACAATATCACGCTCTGTAATCAGACTCTGCATTGCAATATTTGAAAAACAATTCACAACATTGCTACGAACGCTTGTATATGCCACAGCGCATAATATTGCCATTAAGAGAAATGTGAATATATATATAATCATGTAAGCCGTACAAATAATCCAATTAATATGTATAGATATTCCAATTAATACGTTGCATCACTTGCATGCACGAACAAAGGCTTCCGATCTAACATTGCACACAAGTAGCTTAACATTGTTGATATCCAGGTTCCGAAGTCTAACCACAGCCTTTTACCGGGATTCCATGGGTTTCCTACTAATTTTTGACTTGACCAATGAGCTGTCGTTTCTTGAAGTTAGAAACTGGCTGGAGCAACTTAGGGTATTCATCTAACTTATTAGCATTTGTTGTAAATATTGCACAAACATTAGAGAGAGATCATTAAAAACATTATAGAGAGATCGTTTCTAACTGGTCAGTTTTCTTTAAGTCAAGTTTGATTATTTGAAAGCGTCTGTGTAGAATTCTTCTTTTTGTTCGAATTGTTGTCAGCTGCATAACATGATGTCTCATTTGTTTCGAGTATTATTTGACACACGGTTTTGAAAGTAGGATGAAGCATGTGAATTTACTGATAGATGGGGATGACTTGATGCACGATATTAAGTTCAGATGTACTAGTTTAGTTACTTAAATAAATTTAGCATTTGTTGCTATGATATTAGAGTAAACTGCACATATGTAAGGAGTTTATTGAACTTTCTAATATCGCGGACAACTTTAACGACGAATCTCTCTCTCACTTTGCACGAAATAGTCTCTTGTAGCCTAACTTCTTTGGCGGAATATCATGTTCATTAAAAACTTAATGTATGTCATATTTACATGTATATATACGTGTAGACCCACGCATATTGCGACAATCCGGACATAATCCTCTGCGGCAATAAATGCGATCTTGAAGACAAGCGCGTCATCAGCGAGCACAAAGCGCGAGAACTCGCCGAGAGACACGGGTAAGTCGGAGATAGACGGTAGAGCACATTTTCAACGCAAACTCGTCAATGTGTGTATTAGCACATTGTGTATTTGTTTCAACACTCTTGATATCTTACTTGAGCAAAAAATGTTTGTTTTCTCAGCCTGGTTTATCTGGAGACGAGTGCCGCGACCGGGCAAAACGTGGAGCGCGCCGTGGAAATATTGCTGGACCGTGTGATGCGCAGAATGGAAGCCACGGTGGACAAGTCGCTGTTGCCCCATCAAAAAGTCCTAAGGTGCCATGAGCGCGAAACACCGCCACCAAGTAGTTCCTGCTATTGCTGACAGTGTCGATACATGTAGTCGCGTCCGAACTACTATGTCGCCGAGAATTTCGAAGAAAAAAGCGAGCGATTACGAAACTGGCGTTTTCTCTGTTTTTGCAAAGCTAATGTTGACTTTATTACACATAGACTCTAAACACATGTTAAGAAGTTCGTTTTACGAGAGAGGTGCGTATTGACATTTCTTGTTATCTTCCATGTACTAAGTGTCTTCCATCGTCGCTTTTCATCATTGAACGAAGACATTGCTCGAATCTTGACGAGCCGTCAATCTACACAAATTCTCGATTAATATATTTGTAATACTTAAACGTTGAGGATAATTCTGTAACGGACAATCGTGTCCGTTGTTTCCGTGTGATCTTTAATGAATTGCTCTTTGCTGTCAAATTTTCTTTTTATATCACTCTGTCGTCTTCCAAATGTCGCTTGTTTACGAGTGACAACGTCATTCGACTCATACTTGAAGTTACAAATCGAAGTCTTTCATTCTAACAAAAAAAAAAAAAGAAAAAAAAATTTTCAAACGCGCTGAAATCTTTTTCTATCACTTTTATCATACGCACACGTAAAAGGTGTTCAATAAGTCAATCTTTTCTTACTTGCCAAAAGTGTGATATGCGATCGTTGTCGCAGCGCAAAAGTTAAGCGAATCTCTTTCGACTGTATGTATTTTTGATGATGTTATAACCTAAATCAAAGAGTTAATATATTTAATCATAAGATATATATACATACACATATACATATTACGAACGAAATATACATATATGATACAAGCACGTATGTTGACAAATTAATCTCTCTTGTGATATTTATTATATCATATATTACAATTACACAGAAAATGATAAATTATTGTATTCCGATCAAACTCTAAAATGCCTCGACTGTGAAATAAAAGCTACCGATGTTGAAAAGAGAAAATTATTCACCACGTATATAAGGTATTCACACATACGTGCGTACACTGCTGTTCAATTGTGATGACTTGTGGGACGTAATTTTGTTCCTTCACCTTATATCAAAGACCGCGTTCTAGATTACATTACAACTATATAACGATAATACAAGAAGATACTTTGATTAAAAAAAATAAACGTAGTAATATTACGAGTGAGACTTTGTAGAAAAATCAAAGTGAGGAAAGTGCAATATGGATAGCGAGATACTTTTGATTGAAGTTCGATTTAATGAAAACTGATGAAAAATCTCTCGAGTTTGAAGATATTTAATGTTGAATACGAAGATTTATTTGATGAAAAAAGAAAACAGAAAGAAACTAAAGAATAATGATCTTGGAAAAAGTATCGAGTACTAATTGCGGCTTGGCAATTCTGAATTACATTGCTTCGCGAGACGAGATATCGAAAGTGCAAATAAGGAGGTAAGCTTTTAGACTTACGCGTAGTACACATTGTATACTACGAGGAGGAAAAGGGGGTGAGAAAGGGATGAGAAGGGGCGGAGTGAGAGTGTAATCAATCTTAACTGGAGTTTGTGCGCGCGGAACTTCCACTCCTCCCGCTATCTTGTGGTATATTAATGTTAAATTAAGCGAAATTGAAAATTATGGATGTGCGGATTCGAATGAAATTTCTTTATTTTTATTAATGAGAATATAATTACTCTCGTTTGTAACACGAGCGATTATCAAGTACCATTGAATATCGCCAATATTAGGAGAGCAACTTTCGATTGATATCGCGCAGCAAGCGCATTGCGATGCGCGACAATCGAAACGTGCGGAAAGTATGTCTTGTAGTAAATCCGCGAGCAATGGAAAATATCTCCGGAAAGTATCTCCGGGTAACGGGAAGGCAATGAAACTTCAACGTTTCGTCAATGAGACGAGGCGAGTTTTACGGAGTACACTGGAAGAGATTAAAGTTTGTTGGGAAAACTTGCTTCATTGCTCGCTTATTAGTCTACTACTTGCACGTATGGATCGCTGTTTATGAAGGTTGAGATCCCAGCTTCACAGTTTCGTCGTACGACGAAACTCGGCGCTAACTTTCACGTTGTGCCGGAAATTGATTCGAGTCGATATTTTTCGAGGAGCTATCCGTAAAAATGAAATTAGAGAGTTCGGAAAAAAGTGTTTGATCTCCAAGAGAAAGATAAAACGTTCTTTAATGTTGTGAAAATGTTCATTCATCCTTATGAAGGATCTCTCTACGTGATATATATATATATATATATTGTTGAAACAAGAAAAAATGTTATCGGAATATTATGTATACACGAATGTATGTTGATTAAAAATAAAAAGAATGACATTATAAAAAAAAAGTGCTACAACACCGTTTCGTGATACCTTTGTTGTTATCTCTCGACTGACGATTGTTGAGCAATTAAATTCGTCGTGCGCTGTGCGCGCATTAATTATTTCCAGAACGCACAACCATTATTAGCAGTCTCTATTACACAGCATAAATTTTCAAGATACACAGAAATATCGCACAGTTACTAGCGCGAGACAAATTATTAGAATGCTAACTTAGGAAACTCGCGCAATTTATAGAGGTGGAAGAGAAACGCGGAAGCGGAAGTTGAGGTGGGGGGTGGGTGCCACAAGACTGTATTATGTGCTTAAGAAACCATCTCGGAGTTGCTTAATTGAGTTGTACACGTGATAATCTGTCTAATTAAGAACATGTCTCATATTAGTTGTTAATTAATTGTCGGAATACATAGACCATCTTTTATCAAATTACTAGAACCGTCTAGGCACAACGTCTAGGTGTGTGTGTGTGTGTATGTGCGTATTAAAATTAGTGTTTGCATTGAATATATTTACAACATTTTTTTTCGGACATTCGCAAAGTAGAAAAATTTTAACGCAGTTTATCGCTGGAGATGAATAAAGTCAGTGGGAATTTATCAAACAAATATATTAATGGCGAGGACTATTTATCGAGTCGCGCGACCACTTCGTTGCTCGGACTGTAATCTCTCTTTACCCAACCTCCGGATCTTCCCTCTTTCCATCTCTCCCTCTCCCTCTCTCTTTCTGCTCTTAAGGAGAGAGTAAGTTTCCGCGGAGTCTCGTCGACGAGTGTAACTTCTGACCGGAAGTTTCACCGTACTATCCACCTGAATTCTCCTCGCTGGCTTGTTCGCCAGAGAGACGCGTCGAGTGAGGCTATAGCTCTACTCACTCTGCATGAATTTTCGTCGCACGTACCAGGCAGTCAGTTTCAAAGATGACACGGAGCTGCTTGGTTTCGCAATTCCGCGAAGGTTTGTTTTACGCTAGTAGAGTTGAAACCCACTCTTCTCTCTCTCTCTCTCTCTCTCACTTTCTCTCGTTCTTTCCAGATATATGCATATGAGTTACGTATCTGCGGCACAGGTGTTCACTCTTCCTTCCACTTTACCAAACTTTTATAAATATGCATACTCGATTAAACTATCACACATCGTGCGAATGAGTTCGTAATTCTCGGTACATAAGACGGTTAATTCTGATTTTACGCAGTTGAGAGATAGGTTTTTTTCGGATTTTAAGAAATAGAGGGTTAAAATCCATTCAAGCTTTTTTTTTTAATTCAAGTTGTTAAATGCGCTGTAGTACCGTCTTCGAAGATAGAGTTGTTGGTATCTTTTACGTATTGACAGCGGTGATCGACGTTCGTTAAATCGACAAGATTAATTGGCGTTAGTTGCAATTACTTTCGCTCACGTTGGTGATTGAAAAACGAGCTGGAACGCGACGGGAATAGGGAGAGAGAGGGAAAGAGAAAGGGTCGCTCGTCATTTATCGGAACTCGGGATATTAGTGGTGTAACGATGATCGACTTCCCGTTGCAATGGTAAGAGAGTGCGTCGGAACTTTTAACACGTTCGCCGGGAGGTTGCAAAACTATCCACATCGCAAACGTTCTCGCGTTCAAGGTGCGAACGTTAGAACTTTTAACACGTCCGCGGGTGGCAAGCTGCAAAAGCGACATGAGCTGTAGTAAATTTCAAACGCTCCTTTTGCGATTTTTCAACAACGCTTTCGGTTGCTCTTTTTCGCCGTTTTTGTCGCTCGACCATGTGCGAGATCGTAAGAAACGCGATTCAAAATCCGACGACTTGTCGAGTTTAAAGGCGCGACAAAACTTCACTTTTTTCTTTTTTGTATTTCTGCAACATTTTACCGCGACGGTGTTGGAAGGCAAAAGTTTTTAATTTTTGTAATTAAATTTTTTAATATTAGAGCAGCGAGAGAATATCGCGTAATGAAATAATATATACTGACGTTTCGTTAATCGTCTGTGAATATTATTCGCCGAGACATTTCTAATTAAAGTTACGCCCAATGAATCGATAATGCCAGCGCTATCTTCCTCTTTCCAGTTGAAATAAATAGGAAATGAGGAAAAACATCGTCCTTGTCCGGATAGCCACGCGCGCGATTTCTTTTTTTTTTTTTCCTCGTGTCTTCGTCTTCCGTTGCCGCAATTTTCCGCAAAGAGGATCACGAAGACATTCGTAGTGGTGTCGGGAAGTCTTAATGACGGCACAGTGTCAGTTTTTTTTCTCTCCGTATTACCGGAGGACTTATCTCTGAGATTTCCTCCGGCGGATCCGCGTCGACTTCCTGCGAATCAAAATAGCTATCGTATTCGCGTACAGACATTTTATGAATTCTCTTTGAACCTCGCGCGCAGAATATTTCGACGCATTTTATCAGCTTGTACATGTGAATTAACATCTGACTCCGCTCCGAGTACAAAAGCGAGTTCGCAGCGTATTTCTCTCATTCACAACACGCGCGTCGTGTTGCTTTTCGCGTCCAAAGCTGAGAATTGCGCTGCTTTGCACATCAATAACCTATTTATTTTTCGTGTTATTGCTCGAATTTCGCTTCTCTTCAGCGATAATATGACACGAGCAAATAAAATACACAAGGATATACGTACGATAAAGAGAGAAAGAGAATAAAATAAACAAAAAGATTTAAAGATATTTTTCACGTCGATGTAGCGCAAAATATGTCAAAATCGTTGCGACGCGACGACGAAATATGTCACGCGCGCGCTCGCACGTGTGTGTGTTCCCTTCTCTCTGTTTTTTTTTATTTTTCTTTTCGACATCAACTCCGCGTCGCGCAACTCCCTTCGAAGGGGGTACACCCGTCCGTCCGCATTTCGTTCCGGCTTGTTTTACGTACATACACTCAGGAGGAACGCGCGGCGAAGCGAATAAGGGAACGAGGAAGACGGCGAAATAGCCGGGGCGGAACGTGTCGGTTGTTTCACCTTTCCCCGTGCTTTGTCCACACATACCCACACCTATTGTATACGTGTTTGCGTGTGTGTACGTACACGTGAGCGCGTGACACGACCGCCGTGTCCTCCTTCGGTGGATATTTGTTGTGTAATCCCGACCGGCATCGTGTGTGTATACCGATAGGCGACGGAAGAATTTCGGTTAGATAGCCGGCTGCTAGATAAAATGAAATTACGTCGCGACCTCGAGCCGGAATGGGCAACGGAATCCCCTTACCGCCTCTGTTTCT